ATTTTTCTATTCATTCATTCTCTGTTAAACATTTAAATATATTAATTATTATTATTAATATTTACAATATTTCTCAATTATTCTCATTATATATAATGAAAAATTTATAAAGTTTTATTCATTTCCGTATTTACACATGAAATGTATATTTTATTCAAAATAGCTGCATTTTAAAATTAAGTTATTAGAATAAAATTACTTATTTGATGTTATATTATTGTATTGATTATTTAATTCCTTAAGAGTATCGAGAAATAGGAAAATATTCATTATTTACAGAAATATATTATTTAAAATATACCCGATTTATATATAAATTTATAGAATATAAAATAAAATATAAATCTCATCAATTAATTATCCGTTACATATATTCTACAACCTCGTTTTCATTCTGAATCTTGTAATTACCGGATGTAGCATGCATAATTTAATCCGTGAACGCCCTACTTTTTCCGGGGAATGAAGTTTACTTAAAATAAATTCCTCTGAACGTCATCTTAAGAATGTAATAAGCTTCAGATTTATACGACATTGCAATTTTCATAGATCGTTTTTTTAAAAATAAATCGTCGCGGATAAAAATCAAAATAATATTTCATCGTGACATTTGATTTCGTACGATATTCATAGAAACTATTATCTTCGTTGATATACGTATCAAAATAACGATACTCTAAATTACGCGATAAATACAATCATGTACATTATTTATTAAAAAACACTTATGGAAAAAATTAATAAAATAGAATTAATATCAAGCTCTATTTACAAATTGTTACGATTATTCGGGTATATAAATTTCTTTAGAGCAAATATTGATTGATTAATTTTTCGTGGTTCCAGGTTTCGGAGTGCCGCTCGGTTTGTACGGTGCATGGCTACCGATGCGGATGTACGGTAGCGGCGGGACTTCCGGTGTCCCAATGTTACCAGCGCATACCTCCGCCAGTTATCCGTCTCATCAGGATCTTTATCAGAATCGGTTGTCGCAACATCTCGGCCCAGGAACGAATCACCTTCAAGGCGCGGCTTATCCGATCCCTTGTCACCGTGGTTCAAATAATCGTGGCTCGACCAGTTTCACGGATAGCGAGGACGATGGTAGTATCGATTCACCGGCATCACCTGCTCACGATCTTTCTAAATCGAGACACGGTAAGAGTTGAGAGTTGTATTATATATATAAATTATATATAAATTTTTACTACTTTTACTACTTTTGAATAATTTTTAATAAGTGGTAATTAGATTTAAATTACAAATTTAATTTTATCAATTTTCACGCGTTAATCGTTGTTTTCGATTTATGATTTTTGAATTAGATAAATATTGTATGATGATGATGTAATGTTACACGAAGCACGTACTACGATAGATACTCAAGATTGAACATCTTTGATTCTTCGATGGTTTATTAACCACTGCACCGACGTGCAAACGGGATCGTGAAATACCTATTTATTTATATTCTGCTATTAACTTACAGCCATCGGTAATTCTATATTCGAGGCACGGGCGAGCTCTATACCATAGCTCGATGTCTGACGGTTGTTAGTGTTAACAGGATGCGGGAGTGATCGTTTCAATTATTTCTAGGACTGACGAAACACGGTAGCAATTAGCAATTGAACGATCGATCAGAATCTTATTAGAACGATGGTAAATCCGGTTTACATGTGTCTTCAACGAATGACGTTTCTTTCAATGTATTCAATAACTTTGATTTCTTGACGCTTTAGAAAATCATTAGGTATTCATTAGCACGTTCAATGTATCTCTTTACTCATACTTTATAAAGTTGCAAAAGATCAATCATCATAGAACAGCTTTGTTATTTGTTATTAGTTTAAAAAAATTCCTACGAATTTTTCTCGTAGGTACGTAGATTTTTCATCGATTTCACGGAAAAATACAATACGACAAATTATCGATCGGATCGAAGAAATTTCCGAACATCGCCCTTCTGTTCGGGGAACAGGGGTTCTTCGTCGAATGTTCGCCCGGCGTTTGAAATTCGGCCAGGATTCACCGAGTACCGTATCACGTACTTAAGCGCGTGTGCGTACGGAATTTTACAGATGTGTGCGAGCTGTATGAGATTTGACTTTGGGACGCTATAATTTATGCACGCTTCTGTGGATCTCGGGCCCTTTGCCGGCTTCGATCGTGGCGACTGCGATCGTAGTCGAGGATACGCTCCTGGAATCCTTAAACGATTCATCGCGATTTTTTTCGATTCGCGTTTCTCTCCGTGACACAGATGGCGTTTTCCTTTTCCTTGCTCTCCGTTGAGGGAAGGAAAAGACGATGGAAATTTTTGAATTTCATTTGTCATTTGTTATTTTTGTATTTCCTTCTTTTCTTTTCTTTTTTTCTAATTTGAGAAAGATTATTATTTAAAATTGTAAAAATAATTTATGAAAGGATAAGTACCTTTCTCAGCTATCTGTTGACTAAATTGAGGATTATAATTGCTCCAAAGAGCATTATTCGAGTTAATGAACTCTGATCACGAATCAACGAAGTCACGTAATACGTTGCTTGCTTACTAATCACTTTTCGTTCCCATTTCGTCCAATTTATTATCCCTTTCCTTCTCTGAAATACACTGCATGGAATGATCGAAGAATCACCGACGCAAATTAATTTAACCCTCGGTTAACTTGTTAATTAGAATGACCTCCATGATATGATATTACAATTATACGATTATGGACGCTTATGCAAATTTTGCGCCTATACAAATATCTTCCCTCCTCCCTAAACAATGTTCCAGTACACTTAGAATTCCTCTACATTCGAATTAAATTTGGAAAATCAATGTATTTTCCTGATTCTTATATTTACATTCTATTACATTCGATTACATTCTTCAAATTAAAACAATACTGCTAATTTAAAACAAATTTTACTACCATACAAGTTCTATCGTATCCAAATTAAAACTATAACTTGAAGCAATAATATCCAAAGCAAGTTCGAAATTTCTTACGTTCCTCTCCAAGGGAAACTCGAGAAACAACAACCGCCTAATTGTTTCGAACAGGTCCGTAATGGGTCGCGACGGTTGTTCGGCCGATGCCGCGATGGTGGGGAGGCCGATGTGTTCGATGGAAAGTCGAAACTCGCCGATCACGTATTTCCGAAGGCGGCGCGGGGGCGAACGGACGATCGACGAAGTCGCGCGCATTTATTCGTGGCCGATCACTTTTTATTGATGTACCGCCGACCGAGGCGATTTCGTATGCGCAACGAAATGGCTTCGAGGAATCTGTCATCGGTCATTTATGACGCACCGTGCCGAACCGGTGTGCCGATCGTTACGACGAACACGCCGATCGAGAGACGTATCGCCCTCTCTATTCTTAGCCCCCCGTACATCGGAAACGATCCACCTGAATCGTTTTCTCCTGGTTCGGTTCTCTGTGCTCCCGTCGGTTTTATCGTTTTATGCCTTTTTTTTTCTCTTTCTCTTTTTTTTTCTCTCTCGTCGCCATGTACCATTGTATATAAAGAGGTTTCAATGGAGGAAGTTCTTACTGTGATCGAACCGCCTCAATGTATTTTACGTTCGTGACATATGTATGAGTCTCTCTCTGAGGTCAGACTGGTTATAACTCCTCTCTCTCTCTTTCTCTTTCTCGTAATTTTTTTGTTTATCATTGGTTAGGTTTGATTTTGTTAAGTTGATTAATAAATTAAGTAATAAATAAGAAAGAAGTTTTTGTAAATATAAAGTAAAAAAGATTTTTGCGAATACATTCGTTCTTGGAAACGAATTTCTTTTGCTGAATGAATTTTATTCAACATTTGTTTTTAACTTTTCTAACACATTTTCTAACCGACATTTCCAATTTTCATTCATTCAGCGAATTGTCACGTACATTTTATGTGGTTTTCATTTAAGAGACGATCGATCATATAATTCTATTTGCGTGGTGTCTGGATCGCTTTAAACGAACCGCGAGTCTCAAAACGGTTTCAATCTCACTAATGAAATTTTTATCTAATTGTGTCATTTAGCTAGCAATAGATCGAATATATGAATGAATCCTTTTTCCGTTTGGAATTTTTCGAAGCAAAATTTTTATTTTTATTTTTATTTACCTGGGATTTTGTAAAAATAAATATCAGTAAAAATTCCATTTATTAATATTTGCTTCTATCTTAATATTTTTAAATTTTTACAAAGAATTTTATCAAATCACAGGATACGAAATGATTGAATAATAAAAGAATTTGTAAATTTTAATAAATCTATTTTTAATTATTTATATATGAATAGTATAAAGTTATTCACGAAGATTAAATGGTAACAATTTTCAAGAATCGTATATATCTGAAAATTCTTTATAAATTTCACTACTTTTTAATGGAATTTCCTTTCATTAAGAAAAATGATAGACATTGCATTGAAAAGTGACGCGGAAAATTAATCGTATTAAAGAAACGTTATGGATGAATAAAGTTATGAATATAAATAAAATAGTAAAATATATCGATCGTGAATTAAATGAAATTATCCAATGAATGACTATTTGATGGCAGTATGAATGAGATCTTTTAAATCATAGAGAATTTATAGAATCTTAAAGAATTCGTTCCATCTGATAAATGTTCGAAATGAATTGAAACGACGTGCATAATAATTTTTCAGAGATTGATATATGAATTAATTCTCATTCTATTAAATGAAAAAGTCGAGCAGAGATTTGACAAGTTTATTTTCTAATCTGATTCACACTTGATGAATGCTTTTCCCCAATATTTTTTCATTTGCATTTCCCTTCAAATATTTATTTTGCTCTCGAGAAATAACGTGCATTTATTGTATATTTGATAAGAATCGATTCAAAAATTTATTCTTCTTTTTAAAACGTTGAAAATATTGTTATTAAAAGAGAAAATCTTTTCCCCCTTTTTATATTGAACAATTTAAATTTATCTACAATTTCTAAAATTTTTTATATTATATCTAAATTTATTAATTGAGAAATTTTGAAAGAAGTTTTCATTTTTTTATTAGAAAAAGTTTCTTTTCAGATTAAAGATTAAAATGAAAATAATCGCGGTTTCTGTGTCATTTCAATCACTTTTCGTTTCCATTAAGAATTTCTTACATTAACTTCATTGAATTTCAACAATCAGCTTCACGACTTCACTAAACGATTTCGTCTGCTCGTTAAATAGTATGATTTATTTAATAGCTATGTCAAATAACATTTAGTCGCATCGATCGCAAATTTAATTGACGTTAGTCAAGATATCGATTAGGAAGCAAGAATTATGATGTCTATAATTTATAAAGACTGAAATTTAATATAACACGAAGAAATATAATCATTCTCAACTCGTTAAATTATATTTAGATATTAATTGTAAAGAATCTTTCACGAACTTTTCAATATTCTTTTATTATCGAGCAAAGCGAAAACATTCTTTCTGCTTTTCCAGCAGAATCTCGATTTTTTTTTTTTTCTTATTCATTACCCATCGTGATCCCTATGGCGAGCAACACGGCAAAGGAGGGGTCGTCTTGCCGTGCTTCATTCCCAAGAAGAAACCAAATTCTGAGGAAAAAAAAACTTGTCCAAGGGGAGCAGCACGATCTGAATTGGACCCTTCGATTACTCGAATCAGTTAATGGCTTCGCAAAATAAAGAATTGGCTAAATACAGATCATCCACGTTGATTTATCGATAATTATTCTTGATTAAATTAAAATCCAATCGTCTAAGAATTTTTATAAATATAAAATTTATCGAAATATTCAAAAATGCATGTAACTTCTGTTCTGTTTTGTCGGTTTAATATTTATGTCGAGAACCAATTCACAGTAAAATTATCTTGTTAATAGGAAGTCTAATGAATAATCCATATCAAATGGATATAACCTAGATATGTCTTTATGTGTATGTGTGTAAATATTTAAAACATTTATAGCTCGATGATATCGTAATATCGACAGTATGAAATTTCTTTTCGAGGTATCGATTAAATGATATTGTTTCCAACTCTGATATCATCGATGCAATTTATTTACTTTCGAAAATGATAGAAATATATACTTTACATATAAAGAAAAAATATATATATAATAAAAATAATATTCAATATATTTTAGAAATTCAATTATTAAAAGAAAGAAAGAAAAAAAAGAAGAAGAATAGTAAAATAGAAAAAAAATAGGATAATGAGTTAAAGGGAAATTTCCAAGTTTCAGAACGATAAAGCAATCGGTGGAACTGAATAAAAAGGCATCTTATTACATAACTAATTCTATTTCAAACCGTAAATACCGTGAACGTAGCATAAGATAATAGCTCGATGTCTTCTCTGTCATAAAACTCTCGAAATGATTACTTTACAATCGCAGAAGGGGTATTACAGTTTATCGAACTACGTTATAGCATGAGTTTCACTCGCTTTTAGGAGAAAAAAAAAAGAAGAAGAATGATTTTTTATCTATTATGGGCAAAATATGACAATTTTCATGTGATGATAGTGAAAAAAAAGGAACTTAGGGTGATACATCTGTTTCCAACGTTTTTCAAAACGTTCGCTCGACGAGAATATATCATAAAGATATAGTATAGTTCCATACAACGCCATTCCGACGGGTGCAGGAACCGGATCGAACCTCGAATTGGCGAATCGCCAATATCTTGGTGCACTCCAGCTAGTATAGACAACTGTACTTACCGTGTTTCATTGCATATCATAGTGATAATCGCAAGCAATGAATTCTATAATTTTCAAATTGAAATAAAACATAATGCGTTAACAATTTTAACACATTAAATTTACAATTGTTGCAATTATTGTTACTTTAAATGTAACTACCTCAACTTCAATTCACTTTGAAAAAAAATAAACACATTCATTTATAATATCTTCCAAATAAAAATTTCCAAGCTTTTTCTATACTATTCTATATCTATCATTAAATTTATCCAAAAAAGAGTTTTCAACTGTTGCGACAATTTGAACAATTAAATTTAATAATACGTGTTTAAATATCACGATCCCGCGTCAATTGATGCGCCAGATCCGATAGGTTAAATGTCGATAATTCCCAATTTTCTAAACATAGAACACGAGAGACGTCTTCTGGCGTATCGAGCAATTGCTCTATACAAAGTTAATGGCGAGGAAAGAGCGCGGAATAGAGATGTAACGGTATCGTTTCAACGATCGATCAGTCTTCGCGTATCGTATAAAATGTAAAGACCACTAGGGGACAACGCCCGAACGTTTGTCCACGGTGTGCATCGTGGTCTCGTCTCTCTCGTATACGCGGAAGCGTATGGCCCATTCAATCGAAACTCTTTGAATTAATAAACGTACGGGTGCATCAAACTTACCCTCCTCCCCCCGTTGAGGTAACTTCGTCGCAGAAACTTGATGTTGCGCGTTGTATCGTAAGCGCGGAACGGTCGTAAACAACGAAAATAAAAGAATAAAAGAAGGCGGAAGCTATAATCTCGACAACTTGTAAATGATTGTTGTATAGGAGTTGCGAGTTTTCCACGATCGTTATTCATTTCTGGTCGTGATATCTGAGTACATCGATAATGACGATGATGGTCTCTTTGATTCGATATTGCTCGAGCCATGATAATATACAATTTTTGACAAAAAGTATTCGATCAAAATAGAATAATGTAGATTTATATGAATTATATGAATGCGTTGAAAATTTTACATATATTGAAATTGCTAAATGTACAAAACAAGATAATGATAGATATATTATGATTATAGAAATTGTTTATGATGGATTTGGAACCATAGTGAATGAAAATTTTCAAGTATTCCTGTTTAATTGAGCTTTCAAAAAAGAATTGATAATCATAGTAACTTTAAATTTATAAAACATTGATATATCCGTTTTTTATTTCTGTTTTATATTGCTCGTATTTCTCAAGTTTCGCTCATCGATTTTTGTGGTACTATCGAGCAGTCTGGTAAATAATTTTTATAAAGAGCTTTGATATCTAAATGACGATTCCGAATAACCTATAGTCATCGACTAAAAGTTTTATCAAGACTTAAACACATTTCTTCCAAGAATTTCTCACTTCACCATTACCATTACGAAAGGAAACTTTTTCATTCGAGGCTCATTAATATTTTATTTGTACATCAACTAAAGTACATAAAACGCGGTGAAATAATAAAACAATACTTTGTTCGTCGCTGTTTACTATAAGTGGAGTGTTCAGCTGGCTTGTAAGAGACCGAGGGAAAAGAGAATAGAACACGTGGAAAATAACAGAGTCAGGAAGCGAAACTTCGATCGAGAGACATACGCTTTATGGTCGAGGCAGTTGCATGTCCCGCATATTAAATCTTCTTCTTCTTCTCAAACTGTATTGCTGTTAATTCCAATTAATTCCGTCGAATACTGAATGCAATTGTCCAGTCGCACAATGATAAATCACGAATAATGAATCCCTTTTTCAAGATTCTAATCATTACAACATTAAACAAGATATATTTTCCATCAGCAATAAAGAAGAAAAAAATTTCAAAACTTCCTGACAGCCAAATCTTCATATAAATTCGCACTTAAGAAATAATTTCCTCATCGTGCACTCGTTGATTTCAGGTTCAGAAAATGGTCGCGCCTCGGCGGACAGCGAGGACGAAGGCGGAGGACTAAGCGTGACCGGCGAGGGTCACGATGCGACCGACACGATGTCCAGCAACGCGTCCAGCAACGTGAGCCCCGGGGGATCCCTAGAAAATGGCCAAGGCACGTCGACAAGCGGATCAAGCAACAACAACAACAACAACAACAAGGCCAGACGAAGGCGAACAGCGTTCACCTCTGAACAATTATTGGAACTGGAACGGGAGTTCCACGCGAAGAAATACCTAAGCCTCACCGAGAGATCTCATATCGCCCACGCGTTGAAATTGTCGGAGGTCCAGGTGAAAATCTGGTTCCAGAATCGGAGAGCCAAGTGGAAAAGAGTGAAGGCGGGGTTGAGCGGCGGTGGTGTCGGATCCGGGGCGAATAGCTTGGCGACACCTGGTGCCTCGAGCAGGCATAACGGCGCGGCCGGGCAACATTCTGGGAACGGTACCAGGATCGTCGTTCCGATTCCTGTTCACGTTAGCAGACTGGCTGTCAGATCTCACCACCATCACTTGGAGAAGTGTGCCAGGCCGCCGAGAGTCAGGCCAACCGCCGAGAATCCTGCTTCCAGCGCATCCTCGTCCGTTCTGGGAGATGCTCTTGGATTGGTTAATTCATCCATTAATCTGAGCGGCCAGGTACAGAGTCCTTTGAGCAGCGGAGTCGGAATCGGGGTCGGTGTCGGACTGAGAGCCTTCACGGTTCCCTCTCATCGCGGTGGACTTAGTTCTTCCGGCAGGTAGTGAAAGCTAAGAAGTGAATTGTGTTGATATTAATTGGAGATACGTGATGAGAAAGGTTTTCTCATTATTTACGAGGAGGGATGTTGGAAAGGAATTAATGTTGATAGGGACGTTGATGATGAAGCGAAGATCGTTGATGAATTACTGATTGTGGAGTTGTGTAGTGATCTGGATATTACTATGAGAGGATGAATTACGAGGAAGAATATCTTCGATGGAAAAGAGAAAGAATATTGTATAAGTGATTTATTATGTTAACTTGAATAACGAAATTCTTGGAAACCTGTGATGCCTTCGATTCACTTCGAAGTACTATCTCTTCTATCGTTCAATTCTCCCTCGTGATTCATCCAAATTATTCCAAAATCGTCCAATATTTTCTACCACGATCGAGATCAACTTGTAAATAAGTGTACCCATTCTTGATGATTGAAAATGACTGTGTAAATAGCTTTCGCACAGCGTACTGCCTGGACTGTATTCTCCCGAACAGGGGTCGTAGGTCGTACTTGTAGATAATTTCCTTACGTTTAAGCGAGTCTCTGCTCCAGAACTAGTTGTGGCACGATGATATCGAATCGATCGAGCCTGCGATCATCATGTGGAGCGAAAGTGTATATCGAGAAGGCAATAAAACGTGCGAATATCATGTGAAATATCGTGTTCCTGTGAATACCATATCATTGATTCCCAGCTTTATACGGCATCAACGATATTATAAAGACGCTTGTAATACGTGATGACTTTTCGAAATTTATATATTCAATTTATAAGTCACACGAATCTCAACATTTCCTTCTCTAAATTCCTTAAAATTCCTTTAAAAAATTTATTAACGACTCGTTCCACTAATAAAATAACACCTCGTATTTCAATTAAAATGATAATTCAACAAAAAAAAGAGAACTTGAGAACTTTTTTGATCCAATTTTTCTAACAAAATAGAAAACTTCATTCACACGTTCCTCAAATATATTTGATAAATACCTTTTCTTACGAGAAGAAAGAAGAAAGAAAATCACTTTTATTCGCACGAGAATCGACGAAAAGAAGCTACATCTGCCAAACTCTTCGAGAAATTCTTTTCAAGAATCCGACCTTTCAAGATTCTCGTGCCCACGTCGAGTTCAACCTCGAGACAAATTAGCTGGCTGCACAATGCGCCAATGCATATCGACGAGCGGTTAGGTTGCACGGCTGAAAGTGGCATATGGGGTCACGCCTACGAGGCGTTCAAGGGAGGTGTGCATGGGGCCAGATTTTTTCCATACTCTCTCTACGAAGCACGCGCCGTAGTCTGCGAAAATACGTACCCCGCCTGTGGTGTGCAGCCTGCAATTTTCCACGTCAAGGTGATCCCATGGGAGACACCGATCTCGTTTGGGAGCCGACAAAAGCGAACCCAGCACCCCTTCGAGAAATCTGATTCGACGTAATTGTCAAAACAACTCGAAAATCGATTATCGGGAGCGATTGGGGTAAGAAAAAAAAAAAAAAAACGA